AAAATTTTAATTCTAAAAAAAGCTGGGACAGTACGTGAAATGCTACTGTGTTACATCACCTTTCCCGTTAACAGCACTAATTATTTGAGGACTGAAAACTGAAAGTGAAACTTTTGCCTTTCTTCCGTTATACAAATGTCCAGCTGTGTGACCGTACACGACCTTTGTTATTTTGCTCTTCATGATGCCTCACACGTCTTCGATGGAACAGGTCTGGACTGCAGACAGGCCAGTCTAATCGTCATAACTGACGTCATAATTAAAATAGCACTGCTGTGTCTGATCCACTCAGACCAGCACAACATACACAAACACACCACCACCACGTCAGTGTTACTGCAGCGCTGAGAATGATCCACCACCCAAATAGTACCTGCTCTGTGAGGGTCCATGGGAGTCCTGACCACTGAAGAACAGGGTAAAAGGGGGCTAACAAAGTATGCAGAGAAACAGATGGACTACAGTCTGTAACTGTAGAACTACAAAGTGCACCTGTATAGTAAGTGGAGCTGATAAAATGGACAATGAGTGTAGAAACAAGGTCATAATGTTATGCCTGATCGGTTTATGACTATATGTATAAACTATATGTACCCTATGAAGGGTAATACTTCATAGGTCAGTTTCCTGGACAGGGATTAAGCCTAGTCCTGGACTATATTTTCCTGTCAGTGGAGAATCTCCATTCAGAATGCCAACACTCAACACGTCTGTAAGCAGCTCTGTGAAAAGCGTCTGGCTACAAAAAGCATTTGTAAGCTATGATATCTGCAAAAAGGGATGTTACCAAGTACTGACTTAGCAGGATATCCAGACTTTTGCATAAGCGACAATGTGTCATTTTTATCCAATATAAAGTAACAGTGCATTAACATTCGCAGAAAAAATATCAGATTTTCAAAAATAGTCAAAAATCAACAACTCTTGCATATAACTGTGTTTGTCCACCCTTGTTTAATTCAATTACATCGATTCAATCTCCAGCAGGCTGCCTGTCCTCTACTGACTGAATTGGGAAAGTTTTCGGGGCGACACGGTTTGAGCCCCATCCTTAAGCAAACAAACAGGCAGGAATCCGGGCCATTGTTGGTGTGTATGTTTGAGTGACCAGTCAGCACAGACAGCACGAGGTCAAACAGGGAGCGGCCCTGCTGAGAGAGGAGCTGACCTTAAACACATACACACAAACCAATATATACTCTCTCCTTAAAACACACACATATCTATCTATGTACATATACAGTACTGCGCAAAAGGCAGAGACCACCCTTCATTTATTTAATTTCCAGCCCAAACAAACATTAACGCTCTATTGCATGATGTTGCCTCAGGGCAACAAACTCATTTTTCTCACTTTACAATAACAAACATATTTTAAGACAATGATGGAGCCAAAAAAGGGAAGAGTTTGAGTTGGGTCAATAAAAAGCATGTACTTGGTCATACTGTCTCTTATTGGCTGCCTGTAACATTCAGTATCAATTTGTTTTGCTATAAGAATTTGCAGAAATATGTTTGTTGCCTAGAAGCAACATTGTGCGACAGTGGAATGGATCTAGCCAGTCACAAGCCCGGTCTTACCACTTCAGGGAACACGGCTCTGTATCACTCCTTCTCATTGTCACACATTGTTGCCTCAAGGCAACGCACTCCAAAAGGACTCCTGCACACAGTTTCAAAAACGTTTTTGAATTTAATAATCAGGTCCGTTTTATGCAAGAAAAGTGAATCGAATATTTTTTTAAATTGCTCTCATAATGCGTTCAGTAGGGGGTTAAGTATAAGTTATTCATTTCTCAGTATCGGGGGAAAAAGCTGAAAACGTTCAATAGGAAATTACACAGAAGATTCATCAAATAAATATATATTATTAAATTTTGCACTATTTGATGTGTCCACTGTGTATCTTTTATTAGGCCTACCATTCTGTTCAGGAGACTCGCTTTCACATTTTCAAAGAAATCCGCAGGGATGTTTTCCACACCTCCAAAGTTCAGTCTTAGAAGTTGGTGGCACTTCTAACAATCCATGTAATCCCAAACACATTCAGTGGTGTTGTGGTCTGGACTCTTCTTTGTTTGTTGTGTCCGTCTCCTTTTCTCAGTGAGGTTCTTCTTGACAGCTACACATCCTTTCAGACCCACAGCGCTGAGTCGTCTTCTCACAGTGGAAGGATGGACAGAAACACCTGTGGATGTTTTCAGATCTGAAGCAGCTTGATTTTCTCCTCTCTCTCAGAGATGAAAGCTTTAAGTGCTGTTTATCTGAGGGGACAGTTTTGGTGGTCTACTAAGTCTTCGAGGTGGTTGTTAGGAGTACTTTTAACTTTCTTCTTCCTTATGCAAGTAGATTATGTTTTTATCAAATCTCCTCAGAAACATCTCCTAAAAACATAGTAATTTGACTGGAAAATAAACGAGGCAGCCTTTGACTATTACACAGTACTGTAAATGGTTAGCGGACCTGATAAACTGGACAATGAGTGTAGACACAAGGCAGGCATCTACAATCATGCTCTCTCTGAAACAGTAGATTCTGTTTCAAGACAGAAACTCACCTTCACCCCTCCTCCCTTCCCAAAACAGAGATAAACAACAGATAATTCCTCTCTTCTAAATTCACAGACAGACAGACAGACCCCCCCAAACAGCTGACCTCACAGAGGATCACCTGATCAGGAGAAGAAGAAGACAAACACTCCATCATTACTGAAACAGAGACGCTGTACGTTCTCATGATTTATTACTCTACACATAAATTATGCAGTTACAAAGCTTTATATCAAATTAGCCTTTAGCTATTTACAGAGATGAATGGATGGACATCGGCTGACATCAGACTTGCCCTCTCCAGTTATGGCTTTTAGCGCAAGTCTTCATTAACCGGGCACTTGAAAGTTGAACCCTGACCCTTTAGAGTGTGAGTGTGTGTGTGTGTGTGTGTGTGTGTTCAGAAGCTGGAGCTGCTCTCTCAGTGAGCCTGGAGGTCATGTGTGTCTCAGCTTTTCAAGAAGAGTGATCAACGACTTGGCAAACAAAGTCTGTCTATAACACAAATTATGACATGAATAAATCACACCGTAGAGTGTCTAAAGCACGACTGGAGCTGGATTAGTTTTCCCACATGAGGTACCATAATTTTCTGGGATTTGATTAGTTAAATAGTTCAGGATAACGTATCCATGAAATTCCCCCAAATTCCCACAGATAGCCCAGACTGAACGGTCACAGCTCGAACACTCACGTCAGTGTTAAGCCACAGGAAACACTTAATAACACTAACATCACCCCACACGGCTGTGCCTGTTAGCAGGTTTTGTGATTTCATTAGGTGGATTGGAACAGCACTACGGTTACGGCGGGAGCTCCAGGCTCAGCCAATGACAGAAGACCATTTGCCCCACAGTTACTGACAGAGTGTAAAAACTGGACCCACTGCAAACTTTTACCAGTCTGAAATGACAGATCTCGACAGTAAATCACTTAAATTGTAGTACATCTTAAATAAAACTAATCCAGCTCCGATTAGACTTTCACAGACGTTTTATAACTCCTGCATAATTAAATTGTTGGGATGTAAACAAATCATTTTAAGCAGTTTGAGGGGAGATGCTCCGTTCTGGAAAAAAATTAGAGTGAGAGTTGTGCACAAGGGTGGTGATAGGAACCAGACGTCTCTGAGGAGGTTAAGGCCTCTAAAATCTCCCTCACGAAAAGCTTTTACAAATGCAGTGTTTGGTTTGATGTTTTGCAGTAGTTTTGCGGTGGTTTCGGTCTAAAAAAATAGATTAACGGTGGAGGCGCTGTAAGGCAAGATAAAGGAATGTTTTTTTTTTTTTTTTAAATCACCATCATCTACCACAATTTCACCATCATCATCATTACACAGAAAAAGAAGACACTGTAGCTTCACTGCTGGTTTTGAACAGTAAATAAAATGGCCATATTTGTGTTGCTGACATCGTAATATCTGGGTCCGATCACCACCGCCGCAAAGAAATCTGAGCCGGTAAGTTTCACGGCAACGAACCACTTCACATGAAACCATGACGTGCTGAATGTTTACGTTTCAACAATTATGCAGTAATCGATGGACGCAGTTTTTTCGAAACTCTAGTGAACTTAGGGTACATATTCAGCTAATCTGACACAGCACAAGGCCTTCAACTGCTTCACTGACAGTCCAAGTCCTAAAATAGAGTAAAGCTGTTGGTGTATCGGGCTCAGGGTTCAGCACCCCTTCCCTGAAACAAGAACACAGGACCCCCCTTTTCTCTCTCTCTCATCCACAGGAACAAATAAACCTAGTAGCGCAGTGCTCCTCTCCATCGCCATGGAAACCTGTCACTCATCTCTGAGCCTCATTAATCATACGAGACAGATTAGACTCTGAGCAAACATCTGACCTGGAGCTACAAGGAAAATGTAGTGAACAGATAATAGAAGCTGGACAAAAACGGACAAAAGTATGGACAAAATTCAGGCTACAATGTTTTAGCAATGTACTTTTGTTCATGTTAACAGATAACAGTGTCTACATATCATCGCTGTCCAATAAAAAATCTAAATTTTTGTCAATTTTTATTTTTCTACATGGTTTCAACACAGTTTTTTACGCGATTTTTACTTTTCTGCATCATTTGAGCTCAGCAGCTTTCCTTTACATTGTGTGAGAATTTTACGATGACTGGACCAATAGAAATGCTCCAAAATCACTTGGAATAAAGCCTCTTTACATTGAGTTACATTGAAAGTAAAGAATGTTTTTGCCCTCTCCTGTAAAGTTACTATTTTGGAGATACTTGTTTGTCTTTGGACAGCAATGATATGCAAATCTATTAGTGACTATTAACTGTTTATTTGCTGAATTCAACATACTGGGACAAAATAAAAGATAAAATAAGGCCTGTGCAAAAATTAGGGCATATGTAGTATTTTAAATTGAAATTGTGCACTAAAATTAGCAGAAAAATGTTCATACATTTTTTTTTACTTCAAATATCAACAAATCATGTTCACACTTTTGCAAAACTAAAGCAGCAAACTCTGAACAGACCTGCTTATGTGGTTTCTGACAGTATGATCTATCGATAAAAACAAAGTATGTTACATTACTAAAAATCGTAGTAGAAGTCAACTTAAAGCATGAAATAAATTCAGACATCAAACATGTCTTGGCTGATCAACTACATTTCGCATAAGGAGGAATATTGAGGAAAGCAGATTTTTCCCCAAACTATTCCTTCAAGACGATGGCATTATAAGCTCCATAATGTAGCTTGCTCTTGTTGATGGAAACAGCTGTAGTTGAGCAACAGCTGCCTCAGTGAAGGTGGCATCCCCCCCACCGAGGCTGGAGCTGTTATCCATAAGTGATAAGCTTATCTACCGGAATGAAAACCATTCCATAAAAACACCAGCCGCCAAGCCAGGAATCAATTCATCTTCAGAACTGTGATTTGAATTCATGCCGACTGCTTAGATGCATCCAACAACTTCCCAAATGACCTCAGAGTAGAAAAGCGAGGAAAAAGGAGGCCAATACTGCCACCTTCAGGCTGAGGGAGGTATTTATAAAAACAGACTTGTTTTATCTCCACTGATCAAGTTGCCGGAGTCTGCTGGCCCAGAGACAGAGAGAGAATGTGTATGTGTTTTCTCTGAGTTCTCTCTGCGCTCTAGGGGGAACCGCTGAAGCCCAGGTTTAAACAAGCGTTCTCTCGCCCCAGCACCAGGCTTCGTGTGTGACTGACAGGCTCCTCACCGAGTGTTTGTCTGCCTCCCTGGGAAACGGGGTGTTGTCACCGTGACGACGGGCCGATCCCATCCATCAGTGTCAGCGGCGGCACATGAGTAATGGACAGGAAGTACAGCCGGAGAAACAACAATATTTGCAGAATATATTTCAGAAACATTAGGCCGCTTTCTCCTGCGACTCTCGTTTCAACAAACCGTAATGGGGCCTTAATCCTGATTTATGACCCTGTTTAGCCCTTTCGCTGTTGCTCTGCCAGGGGACCCCCGGTTTTACCTCTTCGGCTCAAGCGCCAGGGCCTTATCGGATTATCTGGATCGCTGGGTTATAAATGACGAACCCATGCTGAGCAACAAACAGAGATTGGGGATCAAAGCGACTCATTAGCACTAACTGTGAGAGCTAATGAACATAAACGTAAGGCAGTAATGTGGATAAAAACGTGTTAATGCACTAAAATTTCCCCTCTTATTCCAAATGTAGTTGATCAGACAAGTGTGATGGCTGAAGTTTGGTTCTGTAATTCTGCGATGCTATGAGGCTAACAGCTAGCCAGGACCAGAAGCACCGGTGCACTGAAATGTACTCAAATTTTGGCCGGAATTTGGGATGGCTATTTCCAGAAAAATTTGACCGAAAGAAATGATTAAAATAAAAGATTAAATATGGCTACAAATCTAAGTTTACAAATGAATTACAAATAGTATGAAAATAATAAATACTGATTACTGAGCATCTGCAGCCTCAGTTGTTTAACTTACAGAGACGAAAGTGCAAAATATAGCTAAAAATAATGGAATTCAGTGCCTTGAATGGCCAAATGTTCTCAGTTTTTGAGGACGCTTTATTTCATTACCTGTAAACTGGTTTTGTTTGTTGTCAGCTTTCCAGTTTTTGGCTGATTGTGTTCTGAATTTTGGTTCATTTCAGCGCATCACCAATGGACGCACATATACACTATTTAGCACTGTGCTAAACATGCCTAAATCGTCATACACTCACCTTAAATTGATCAGCGATCTCTAATAGACATGCTTATGTGGTTTCTGACACTAAATGACACTCTGTTTTCTATAAACATGGACAAAAGTCTTAAATAGTTTAAAAAAATGGTAGCAGCCAGGTTAAAGCCTGAATTCTGTCAGAATTTTTCTCCACATTTAAAGACTTGGTAATAAACCAAGACTGACTATTATGTACACGTCTACTTTGGGTGCCAGACAGGCACCAAATGAACTGTCAGAGGTCATTATAGAGTGACAGGCTGGAGGGTGAGGAGTCTTAGACACAATGGCCTTGTCCCAAAACTTAGACAAAGAACAGAAAGCACCATAAACGGTTCTCTTTAACTAAGCACTAAGGCCAAACGAAGCCGTCAGCGCCTCAGTCTAAAGGGTCCATGTGTTCAGTGTTTTTAGGGAGGGGGTGCTTAACCTCAGCAGCCGGTAACCGTGGCATCCAGACCGGAGCGCTTGGTGATGCTGATTTTGGTCAGCTCCTCGGCGCAGGTGGGGTGGATTCCAACTGTGTCCCGCAGCTGAGTGTAGGTGAAGCCACACCTGCCAGACACACACACACACACACACACACACACACACATACACACACACACACACAGAGACAAAAGCCCATACTGTCACACACACAGCTGCCATCACTATACATTTACATTAAATAAAACAGAGATCTGTAGCACCTGCGCAATGCCTTCCCTGGGGTTCAGTTTTAATTAAGTAGGCTACTGCACTGTCTAATTAAATTGAATAATTAAATTAATTAAAAGGTACAATAACTGGGATTGTTGTTACTAGGACTGGGCCATATAATGTACAAATAATAATGAACATAACATAAAGTACAAAAATGATGCTGGTTTTTAAAAATGTTGCCAGTATTTAAAACTGATGATGGTATTTCAAAATTATGATGTCAAATTTCTATTCCACATCTGCTAAATACACACATTCCACCTATCTAAATTTTAGAGGCGTCACTGACTGGTGGAGTGGGAGCTCACTGATAGGCGGCTCTGATAGAAAGAGAGGAAAAATCAGAGTCAGGAAAAAACTCAGAAAAACCAAGCACGACAGTGGCTCAGCGACAGCTAAGAGCTGCAGACTCGCCACAGAACACAATGTCTGATTTCTGATTTCACTCAGTCTGTCAACTCCGCGCTCTCAGAACATCTTTAAAACAGGTGACATTTCAGCATCAGTTAGCTGAACGAAGACTGTGCTTGGTTTTAAAATTTAAATGGGTAGTATGTGTTTTTTCGGCTGTTCAGACATGGAATAGAAACATATATTAATATAGAAAATAGAAATATAGATATTGAAATACTGTCACCATTTTTAAAAAACAGCATCACTTTTAAAAAACACATTGTGGCATGTTTTTACAGTCTCTCTATAACTGGTCTAAACTGGTCTGTCTTTATGATCTAAGCTGCAAAAGGACTGATGATAACTATGACATACTCAGAAAAGCATATCATAATTTATCACAACAATACCATGTCGACAGGTTGCTCATCCCTATATGCTGCTGACAGTGCGCTTTCAACCAGAATAGATAGACAGATAGGCCACAGTCTGTCTGTCTATCAATCTGTCTATGTAGTTTTTTATTATTTGAACACCAAATGCTGTTCTACAATGACAATGCAGGCAACCACTCATTCATTAATAACTGCTCTGGGTGACTGAGCTTGTAAACTCACTGGAGGCCGAGGGCGAAACCCTGAGTCACTTCTCCTGCGTTAGGACCAGTAAAGTGGAGACCTAAAACTCTCTGATCACCATCCCGCTCACAAACCACCTGAGAGAGAGAGAGAGAGAGAGAGAGAGAGAGAGAGAGAGAGAGAGAGAGAGAGAGAGAGAGAGAGAGAGAGAGAGAAAGAGAGAGAGGGAGGGAGAAGAGAAGAGAAAAGAAAGAGACAAGACAAAAAGAGAGAGAAAGAAAGACAAAGAAAGAAAAAGAAAAAGAAAGAAAGAAAGAAAGAAAGAAAGAAAGAAGGAAGAAAGACAGAGGAAAAAAGAAAAAAGAAAAAGAAGTAGAGAGAGAAAAAGAAAAACAGGAAAGAAAAAGAAAAGAAATGAAAGAAAGAAAGAAAGAAAGAAAGAAAGAAGTAGAGAGAGGAAAAGAAAGAAAGAAAGAAAAGAAGGAAGAAAGACAGAGAGAGGAAAAAAGGAAAAAAGGAAAAAAGAAAGAAAGAAAGAAAGAAAGAAAGAAAGAAATAGAGAGAGGAAAAGAAAATGAGAGAGGAAAGAAAAAGAAAGAAGGAAGCAGAGAGAGGAAAAGAAAAAGACAGAAAGAAAGAAAGAAAGAAAGAAAGAAAGAAAGAAAGAAAGAAAAGAACAAACACAGAGAGAAAGAGAACAAAAAAATAAAAAGGCAAGAAAGCAAGCCATCAAAAAGGAAAGACAATAATGAAAAGAAAACGGAGAAAGATCAAAAACAAAAACATAAACAAGAAAGAAAGGAAGCAAAAACAGCAGGCAAGAAAGACAGAAGGCAGGAAAGAAAAAGGAAGGTAAAGAAGAAAAACAGAACACCAGGTACATGAATACATGCGCCCGTTCTGATGCTGTTCTAGAAACTCATAACAATTACCTCATAAACACTATTAATACTTATGGAATGTGTAAAAGCTCCTGGAGGCAGATTATCATGAGCGAGTGAGGCTTTATTCTGCAGCAGTAAACAGAGTGAAGCACTGGTGGAGAAAGTCTCCTCACCTTAATGTAGCACTGACTGGCATCTCTCTCAGCTACAGTGAACTCCAGAGGCTTGTAGAAGGCATGATAGACCTGTTCAACCACAACACAGAGATCAATCAATCAATCAATCAATCAATCACTTTCATGCTTTTAAAGTTCTTCAAAATGCACGTTTTTGAAGGAAAACCACTTACAATAACCTCACACATGCAGCAGCAGTTTCACAGTGATCGTGATGGTGAAAAATCTATTTTAAAAATTTACACAATTACACCCCCTTTTTACCTATTGTAGTCAATCAGTCAAGACATGTTTGGTGTCTGAAGATCACTTGTTCTGTGCTGGAGCTACTAATGTAGCTGTTGCTTACCTAACAGCTATCTTGAAGCTTGAATTTTGTCTAATTTTGTTAGTTTTTTCTGTTTTTTTTCCCTTTTCTGAGACTTGTAACATTTGTTTTATACATACATACATACATCATCTAAACCGCTTATCCTTCTGGGTCACGGTGGGGTGCTGGAGCCGATCCCAGCTGTCATTGGACAGGTCGCCAGTCCATCGCAGGGCAGACAGACAGACATACACATTCACACACACTCACTCACACCTAGGGGCAATTCAGCATGTCCAATCAGCCTGACTGCATGTTTTTGGACTGTGGGAGGAAACCGGAGTACCCGGAGGAAACCCACGCAGACACGGGGAGAACAGGCAAACTCCACACAGAAACGACCCTGGTCACCCGGCCGGGAATCGAACCCAGGCCGTTCTTGCTGTGAGGCGACAGCACTACCCACTGCGCCACCGTGCCACCCTACATTTGTTTTATATGTCTTGTTATATGTATTAAGCCTTGTTGTGTGGACCCCATAGCTGATGCTAACTTAGTGCCAGCTAATGGGGATCCAAATAAATAAAAAATAAAGAATAAAGAATACAACTTCGGAAACAAGTCTATTTGAGTCTATTAAGTCTATTTGTGTGATGATTTAGTAGTGCAGTTTGCACAATGCTAAGTGGTGGGGTACTTCTTAGCTACATTAGCCTTGTAGCTCCAGCGCAAAACTAAAGCAGGTTCTACCCATTCTTTAAATTGTGGTAACAGCATCTGCATCATTCCACCGAGCACCACTCGCTGAGTAACCACTAGCATAATGCTGCAAGCAATCATCACTAGTTCTACTTTAACACACAAAAAAAAACAAAAACAAAAAAAAAAAAAACAGATACATTCGGTAACGTCGATAGGACATTTGATCTGCAGCACGTTTGGTCAGATTCTGAAGAAAAGTGACAGCACATCAAATTCTCGACTTCTTGTTTCCCCTACTCAAGCTTTTTGGTTGGTAACTGTGATGAAACAACCAAACAAACTAATGCAATTCTACAAATAAAACAGGTTTTGTCAAGTCAAGAGGCTTTTATTGTCGTTCCATCTATGTACAAGTACACAGTGGAGTGAAATTACGTTCCTCCAAGGAACAACACAGTGCAACATGGAACACAATAGACAGTACAAAGTGCAACGTGCAGACGTAAGTGTGCCAAAACAATTAGACCAGAAACAATACAATAAATGCGATAAATAAAACAGACATTAGACACAGTAAACAGACAGGACAGTGCAGCACCGACACAGCACTCATTTCTGAGCATGAGGTAGGAAATGCTTTACAAAATGATGAGCTGAACCTGATATTGCGATAGTTTTATGGCTCGGTCCGCAACATGGTACTACTTTTTCTAGTGGAAGGAAGTGCTAATATTAAAGCACATTTGATACAATATTTCGGGCTTCTTTGCTTTAATTTTTCTCTTTTACTGTGCAGAACTGTTCTACGAAAGCAATAGAACACACACTCAACGTCGTATTTAAGTCTGAACAACTTCACAGCTGTGAAGATCTACTCACCTTCGGCAGGATGTTATACATGATAACGCATGACATTGTGACAAATAGATTGATGTGGATTATGACACTATGGATGTACTAGCAGTAGCAGGAGCTCAGGGTCGGCAATGTTATGATACTCAGACATTTTCATGGCTGATGATAAGCATTACGGTATTTTATTTCTCTGATTTCCTATCCTAGGGTTTCAGTCACGTGATTTCCGCCATATTTGGGACCAAATTTCTGGCTTTGCTGCTCCGCACGAACGTAACTAGAGGTGAAAGATGGCTAAAATTACTCACTTTAAGTCAATAAAATAGGCTGTGATCTTAAACAGTTTCCCCTGAAACTCATACTCAGCCCCTCTCCCTAATTTGGAGAGTCTCTCAAAGCATTTAAAAGCACAGAAGCCCACCGGCTCCTCACGTCAGGGTGAGTAAAGGATCCCACGGTGTTCATAAAGAGGAGAAAAACTCTTCATCATCATAGGAGGGTAACGACATCAGCTAATTAACACAGATGTGAACAATTCTAGCCTTTAGACAACTTTAGCTGATGTTAACAGCCGAGAGATAAACGGCTGTTTATCGTCCCCCTAACGGAGCTGCAGACAGCCGGTATAACTTTACTCTCTGTTTCTGGAGATTTAAATGAGGTTTGAATGGAGAAACATAAACGTTGAATATCAGACTGAATGTCGTGGGTCGGAAAACGACGTCGTGTTACGACAGACGTGATTCTGTAAGTTTGCTGGTGCAGTTAGTTCAGAGTTCAGCTCCAGTCCTGCAACCCCTGCACTGCATAACTGTGGTTTCCTGGTTAAAATACCTGATATTATTAGCTAATTAATCCCTTCTTGAGCTGAACGAGGTGTGAACAGCAGAGAGATACACTGAACTATACAGTGCAGGGGGTCCAAGCCTGGAGTGAAAACACTGAATTAAAAGGTCTGTGCGTCTCTCGTTATTCTCGGCTTCTGTCGCGTCTTGCAGGTGAATCATTCACAAAGCACAGCAAATCGAAGGCATCGCACAGCACAGTCACTCCCTGAGTCAGTCCTCAAAGCAGCAGTGACTATACAGTGTGAAGTCACACGAAACGTGAGAATAAGAGCACCAGAACTCATAAAATGCATTCAACAAATGTACATTTTTATTCAGTGTTTCACGGCACTAAATCCATTTAAACAGGACTAACTATGCTCTCTGTAATGAAATATGCAGTTGGCCAGTGTTCTTTAAGTGCTAAAGAGCTCAACGATACGCTCAGAAAAGCGTACTGTAATGTATTTTATCTCAATAATGATAAAATCTCATCACACTGCACATCCTTCCTAACAGCCATCATGTATTGTGCCTGTGTTTTTGTCCGCAGTGAGCTTTACTGAAACCTGTGATTTGAAAACTGATAAAACATGATGCAGCACAGATACCTGTTAGAGTTTCCTATCAGATAACCGTTTCAGCAGGCCGTGCTTCGGCTGTTGAAATAAGTGCTGTTCTCAATATGCTTTTTTCCTCTCCGCTCTAGTGTCCTTTTGCTCTCTTAACAGTTTTTTTTCTGCTCCTCCACTTAAATCTTCGATAAGCAGAGAGGCTGAAATGTGCGTTTCATCGAATTCGTCACACACTGAACCGCGAACGTGCTGACACAGGCAGGCAGCCCAGACACACACCTGTCAGAGCCAATAAGAAGCGGCGGTTTTGATCGTCGTTCGTCTGTCGTCAGCCACTGTGTGCGTCAATCAAAGCCTCTACCGGCCTGTCAATCACTGCCCGGGGAAACGCCCCTTTTAGGACGTTTTGAGCTTCAGAGCTGTGCAGGTGTGGAAGTGCTGGGGTGTGCATGAACTCACACACCACACAAATATGTACATACAGTGCTCCCCAGAAGTATTAGCACCCTTGGTGAAGATATAAAATGTCTTTGGAAAATGACTGAAAATAGGAAATGTCTCAAACTGGGCTTCATAAATCAATGTAAAATCAAGTGATGCACCAATATTGTGGAACTGTGGGCCAATATCCGATATTTCATTAACACATCTGTCGATACCGATCCTGATACTGATCTAAATACCTCTAATAAATACAGAAGTATTCTCAAGTTCTGGAAAAAGGCAGACATACTTAGACCAGCGACATATTTTTATGCATATTTTGGCATATTAAATAAAAAAAAAATACAACAAGTCTAAAAAGACTACACAGAAACAGTAAACGTCAAATATAAACGGCAAATAAAAGTTTGTATGCTCGCCTGATTTTTTTTCCAGTAAAAAAAAAAAAAGTGATAAATTATGACAAACACATTTGTCAAATAAACACTGAAAATACAAAAAAAAAAAAACCTGTCATACGACTGATATAAGGCGCCTGGCCATGGCTATAAAATATGACGGAACCAAGCAAATTCCAGTGGACTAATGAAGAGATTAAAACGTAGCTTTATCTTATCAAAGAAAAATATTTTAGGGTGATATCAGATGGAAAATACACACTTATATACACGCATTATAATAGGAACCTTTACAATGAGAATTCAATATAACGCTTCTCAACAAAAAACATTTCGACAAGAAAATTTAGAGCATTGTGGAGAAACTAAATATTAATTTCTGCAGGGCTACGAATTAAGTTAAATAAATAAAATGCAGATTTTAATTAAATAAATGAATCAAATGCAGACATCTAAAATTCCAAATAAAATTTTGATAGCATAAAATGTTCTCTCATCTTAATCAGAGGTGCGAATTATTTTGGAGGGTAAACACACAATAAGCCAAGGGTGGACGATATGAGCTCAAATTTACATCAACGATATTGTGGTATCAAAACAACAACAATATAATAATAAAATAATAATAACAAGTAATTTTATAATAAAATAATATAACATAAACAACAAACAACAACAAAAACAAGACTACCCATTATTATTATTATTATTATTATTATTATTATTAATATTAATAGTAGTTGTTTTATTATTATTATTATTATTATTATTAGTCCCTGCAAACACACGTACTGATGTGCTCTTGCACAACTTGTCATGTACGACTGGATAACAGGCTGCACTGATTAACATAAGTAGTGCAGTTACCACTTTTGGTTTAAAATGTGCTGTAAATGTTTGTGTGATGCTGTTTTTGGGCTTATGGTAAAGTTTATATTATGAGATATTATCATACCAGTATTCACTCTCATACCAGTACACCCCCCACCCCTACATTCATCCCTACTGCTTACAGTTTTATCATTTTACCTCTATATTGTCTTTGCCGTATCTTCTTTCTGCTTCTTCTTCTGACAGACCCACGCAGCCATATTCCAGAGGAGTGAATACTGTAGTGGGCACCTAGAAAACACCCACACACCTCATTACACTCCTATTCACCATTACAAACAAACACTGGGAAGACAAATAATCATAATTAAGCATAAATTAACTGATAAAACTGCTGCAGCACTTTTGCTTCATAACAAACAGCCATAAAATATAATTAGGGATGTGGTTGGGGGGGGGTGGCGGGGGGATATGTTGGGGGGGGGGTGCAGTGTGTGAAGAGAACAAACAAAGTAGTCAAAGGAGACGCAGCATAAGTAACAGTGAGAGTTACAGGATCAGAGTAAATTCTGTAAAACTCACATTGTCATAGTTCATCAGCTGGCTGGAGTGACCCGCCAGCCTCCGGGCCAGTAGTTTACCTGCCTTAATGGCAGTGGGGGTCAGCTCAGGTCGACCCTGAAAAACAGCACAGATAAACACGGAGGCCTCATCTGGAGACTAATGCATGTCTTCATTTCCATGCAATAGCACAAATATACACTACATTTATAGACATTTTGAAATGTCTATAAATGAAATAAGAGTTTAAAATAAGAGACTGTATGTAAACAAAACGTTTACAGTTTCAAAACCAGTCAATACAATCCATATATGGAAAAACTCATCATGGTTGTGATGTCACGCAACCATATGTTGATATCACCACCATGAAAATGGTCACGTACAGCTAGAATTAATCAAGTTGAAACATCTACTCTTGAGACACGGAGACAGATTTGTTTTGATGTGATGAAAAGAGTGGAACAAATGTTATGATGTACATTCTAAAGGCTAACATCCTTCTTTTATCTTATTCTTTTCATTAAACCATATGTAATAAATTGTTAGAAACGTATGTACAGAAAAAGGGGACGGATAGACCAGTGGGGTGGGGAGGGACAGGAGGTTGTTTCTGATTTAATTCAGTTCTGTATTATTGCGATAAAGAGCTGCTTGATTAACAGAAAAAAAATAAATAAATCGATCACAAAAAAAGGAAAAATGGTCAGGTAAAATTTGACGATTCACGTAAAATTACAGTTGTTTTTTGTAAAACCACACTAACGTTATAAGTGGACTTCAGAGGAAATACAAATAAAGAGTATCATCGCTTTAAACAGCCACTGCATTAGAAAGGTGCTTGTCTGAAAGTTACAGCAATTGTGTGTAAAAAAGTCCAAAGATGCAGAAAATATGCAGAGTCTTCAAATTCTATTCAATTAAATTTATTTTTCTAGCACTTTTCCAAGAGGCATCATCTCAAAGCAGATTTTCACAAATCTACCTCTAAAGAACATTAGCAGACAGTGTCAGGAAAAGCTCTGAGAGCATGAGGAAGAACCAGTGAGAGAAACTGAGAGTCAAAAGGAGAAACTCCCGAAGAACATGAGGAAGAACCACTAAGAGGAACCAAGACTCAAATGGAAAAAACCCTAAGAGCATGAAGAACAACTGAGAGGTACCAAGAATTAAGAAAAAAACTAAGATGAGGAAGAATGTTGAGAGGATCCAAGACTAAGAAAAAGCTCTAAGATCAGGAGGTGGAACCACTGAGAGGAACCACGAATGGCCACGAATGGGATACGTATCCGATCTAGGACCACATATGAAAGTGGCTCAGGTCGGATTTGAAAAGATCAGATTTGTGTGTCCAAACAGCCCTGAAAACATCAAACATTTGGCAAAAAATCAGATTTGTGCCACTTCAGCCTGGTAATGTAAACATAGCCATAACTGTGCTCTCATGGAAAAATGGAAAAAAAACAAAAACAGAAATAGAAAGGAGGCAAAAAAGTGAGCAAGACTGGAATAACGCCAGCAGAAAACTCTGGACCCGATATCGGAAGAAAAAAATAAAATCTCAATTGAATTTTGCTATAAATCTAGATGGGAATATCACAGAACTGAGAGAAGAACGAGTAGCTAGTTAAGTATTATACTACAATTCCTTTCTTTTAAGTAGTTTACTTTCACACACTCTGCCACTGTGAGTGATACTTCTGGTCTTTCTATCATTATTAAACAATAAAACATTATTGAGTCATCTCCCATCAAAATCATTAAGAAATACAACCTGTCCTGGACTCAGCATGTTTCTGCTGCATTGAGAACAGATGCAGAGCTAGCAGTTTGATTAGGGAGATCAGACGCATTCAGGAGATCACTATCGCCTGAACATAATGTTGGTGTCAGTCACATGAAGGATTAAAGTGTAGGAGTGGAAGAGTGCCAGGCACCGGGGGAATCAGACCTGCGCTCAGAGCTGCAGGCAAACAGCAGCAAAACTGACTCATACAGGATCATTTCCGCACATCCGGCTGCGCAAGACAACCCCCCCAGCATTTTACACTGTTTGAGTGAAAGAGACACAGAGAAAACTTGGCTACACATTAAAGTGAATGTTTGGTGAAAAAACAAATTTCCCCATCCCCTTTACCCCGATATAGGCGATCGACGAAGACGTGTCTGAAGTTATCTGAAACATGCTTCTTTAGCTTTGCTGAGGTTTTTACGAGGCTAATGAAGCTAACAAGACATGGAGGCCTATGTACACCAATTAGCATTGTGCTAACTGCAAGCCCAAGTGTGTGATTAACTTGCTAGTAGACTTGATTATGTGGTTTCTGACAATGGATGACACACTATTATATACAAACATGAAGAAGGTACAGAAAGCACAGACAGCTGCTAGTGTTCGTAGTCGTGCACAGAGAAAATTGTGTATTAAATTTTTTATCAAACTGTAATTTTAATTTAATGACATGGGATCAATAGATTTGAAAGAAAGAAAGAAAAAAGAAAGAAAGAAAGAAAAAGAAAGAAAGAAAAGGAAAAGAGAAAAGAAAGTAGAAAAAAGACTAGGAAAGAAAAAAGAAAGAAAGAATTAGAGAAGAAAGAAGGAAAGAAAAAGAGAAAAAGTAAGAAAAAAAAAAGAGTTGAAAGAAAGAAAGAAAGAAAGAAAGAAAGAAAGAAAGAAAGAAAGGTATGAAAAAGAAAAGACAGTAAGTAAGAAAAAAGAAAGGTATGAAAAAGAGAAAAGAAAGTAGAAAAAGACTAGGAAAGAAAAAAGAAAAAGAATTAGAAAAGAAAGAAGGAAAGAAAAAGAAAAAGTAAGAAAAAAGACTAGCAAAGAAAAAAGAGTTGAAAGAAAGAAAGAAAGAAAGAAAGAAAGAAAGAAGTGAAAAAGAGAAAAGATAGTAAGTAAGAAAAAAGAAAGGTATGAAAAAGAGAAAAGAAAGTAGAAAAAGACTAGGAAAGAAAAAAGAGTAAAGAAAAAGAAAGAAAAGAAAAAAGAAAGAAAGAATTAGAAAAAAATAAGAAAAGAAAGAGAAAAAGTAAGAAAAAACACTAGGAAAGAAAAAAAAGAGTTGAAAGAAAGACAGTAAGAAGAGAAAGAAAAAGAAGGGAAAGTAGAAAAAAGAGTAAAGAAAAAGAAAGAAAGAAAGAAAGAAAAGAGTAGGAAAGAAACACAAAGACTAAGAAAAAGAAAAAGCAACAAAAAAGATACACAGAAAGAAAACAAGAAAGAAAAGAAAAAATAAGAGAAAAATAAACAACAAAATAAAGACAGAAACAAAAACAAAAAAATAAAAAACAAAAAAGAACCAGAGAGAAAGAGATGAAACAAGAAAATAAGCAAGCAAGAAAGACAGACACGAAAAATGAAGCAGTCAAGTGAGCCAAAAAGGAGAAAGCCTAGAAAACAATGAAGTGACAGAAAGCGAGAAAAAGAAAGAACGTAAGAAAGGAAGAGAAAGAAGAGAGAGAGAGAGAGAGAGGAAGGCTGCTGGTAGTCGTGTGTGTTGCAGCATGTATCTGTCGAGTGTAACCAGGTGCAGGTCACTCTGTTTCTCTAACGCTGCAGGATGGCAGGTATGAACGGGGAAAAAAACTGTTCTGCTCATTGGAAAAATGTCAGGTATGGAGAGCAGAGCTGCTTCCTCCAGAGCCGCTGTTCAAAGAGGCATTTCTGACTGTGCCAGTAATCACACAGCTGCTCGGGATGACTGACAGGACGGATATGTGATCCAGCCTGCTGGCTGTTTCGGGGCAATAACCTCACAACACAGAGCACAACAGAGATATCAATAGACGTCTGTCCGTACAGTAGCAGTCACCTGACTGAGAGCATGCCCTTTCATCTTGTGTACATTTTACAATAAATAAGCAGCTTCTATGGATTTCCGATGCAGTTTTTTTGCCCTCCGATTTGATCTGATCTTTGTGTTTGCATAGGTAATAAAGCAGGTAAGATACAGTGCTGTGCAAAAGTCAGAGACCACCTTTCATTTATTTAATTTCCCTTCAAAATAACCATTAAGTATATCTTAAGGTCACTTTTCAGCATCAGGAAAATCTCCAGAAAACGTTTAACAGGAGTGTACTCAGTGTGTCCACTCTTGGCCTTTAGTACAGCTTCCACTCAGGGATTCAGGGATGTTTTTCACACCTCCAAAGTTCAGGCTTAGCATTTTTCATGCATCTCACAATCCAAATAATCTCAAACACATGGACTGGCGACCTGTCCAGGGTGTATCCTGCCTTCCGCCCAATGACAGCTGGGATAGGCTCCAGCACCCCACCGCGACCCAGAAGGATAAGCGGTTTAGATGATGGATGGATGGACATTCAGTGGTGTTGAGGTCTGGACTCTGGGGTGGTCAGTCCATTGTTCAGCTTCTTTGTTTGGTGTGTCTGTCTCCTTTGCAGGTACCAGACACCTAACCAGCCCGTAAAACAATGGACTGATGCCAAGATTAGGCCCAGCCTACACATGACAAATGACAGGTGTGACAGACATGACCATGTAGAGATACACAAAAGAACACTGAGAGGAACCAAGGCTCCAAAAAAGCTCTAAGATCATGAGATGGAACCACTGAGAGGAACCAAGAATTAAAAGAAAAAAAAAAAACTAAGAACATGAAGAATGCCAGGAGGAACCAAGACTCAAAAAAGCTCTAAGATCATGAAAAGGAACAACGGAGAGGAACCGAGACTCAAAAAAGCTCTAAGATCATGAAAAGGAACAACTGAGAGGAACCGAGACTCAAAAAAGCTCTAAGATCATGAAAAAGAACAACTGAGAGGAACCGAGACTCAAAAAAGCTCTAAGATCATGAAAAGGAACAACTGAGAGGAACCGAGACTCAAAAAAGCTCTAAGATCATGAAAAGGAACAACTGAGAGGAACCAAGACTCAAAAAAGCTCTAAGATCATTATGTGGAATCACTGAGAGGAACCAAAAGAAAAAAAACCCTAACAGTACAAGGAAGAATGCTGAGAGGAACCAAGACTCAAAAAAGGTATAAGATCATGATGTGGAACCCCTGACAGGAACCAAGAATTAAAACAAAAAACCCTAGGAGCATGTGGAAGGATGCTGAGAGGAACCAGGATGCAAAACAAGCTCTAAGATGACGATGTGGAACCACTCAAGGGAGCCAATACTCAAGAAAAAACTTAAGAGGATGAGGAGGAACACTGAGAGGAACCAAGACTCCAAAAAAAGCTCTAAGATCATGAGGTAGAACACTGAGAGGAACCAAGATGCAAAATAGCTCTAAGATGATGGTGGGGAACCACTGAGGGGAAAAAACCCTAAGAGCACGAGGAACAACCGAGAGGAACCCATACTCAGAAAATCTGACAGGGCAGTTTTGGTGTGTACCAGGTTTTCCAGGTGGTTGTTAGGAATCTCTCTGCAGCTTTCAATCATTTTTTAAAACCTAGTTTTGGAAACTCTTTATTTTTTGCTTATTTTCCTTTGACTTTCTCCTCCCTCACGCAAGTGCATTATCTTGTATCTAATCTCCTCAGAAAAATGAATAATTTGTACTTAAAAGGCTGTTTTTACTGAAAATTAATTAAATGAAGTCTGACTTTTTTCTACATTACTGGATGTTGGGCGGCAAATTAACTACAGTACAATTACTTCATATTTATCATGCAATTAACATGACATTCTGGAATTATTTTTGTTTTTCGTAGTATCTTTAATATAGACTAAATATGATGATACAGTATGGTTGACTGATCTAATTATTTGGCCATCAGTTACTTTAATATTCTGTATGGAAATCACTTCATCATCATCATTTTTTAATATGTGCATAATGGCATACAATCTGAACTGATTTATTTTATTACTGTTTCAGAATAGTTATGTGAAATATTGTGGGAGTGTATTTTCTACTTTGTTTTCCTAACATTTGCTTGCGCTAAGTGGTTTGAAGTGTGACAACCACACGCTCCAGGATCGGGACATCACTAGTAGTTTCCAACTTCAATGAAATTAAGAGCTGGAAAATGTTGAACCACAATCATCCTAATGACTATGTTTGCTGGTTAAAGGTTAATTAGTGGAATGTCTGTCCTCGTTAATGCTTCTGAGGTGCGGTCTTGCATACCTGCGCGATGTCGCCGATGGCGAAGATATTTGGCACGGAAGTCTGTTCATCAGCAGCCACTATGACTTTCCCTGTATCTTCATTCAGCTCCACACCCACCTGCTTCAGGTTCAGAGTTTTGGTTTCAGGGGCTCTGCCTAGAATCAAAGGTCAGAAAGAGCTGAGCAGATTTTAAGACCCAGAAAACACAAATTCAACATTCTCTACACCAAACCGAATTGTGTGGGTGATGTGTCATTAGAATGTTCTACCTCTATTCATACTGCTTTATTTGGGCTTTTTGGGACATTTGAAAGCTCACAGCCAAATGCCAGCATTAGTGTGTTGGTGTTTGGTGGAGAACGATGGCATTTTGGTGGAGGATATTGGTGTTTTGATGTAGAGAATTGGTGTTTTAGTAGAGAATACTGTTTTCCCAATTTTCTCCACAATTTAGTCATCTCCAATTCCACCCTAGGTAGGACTCTCCCAATCACACGATACCACCAGCTCTAGGAGGGTGAAGGCAAGGACACAGGCTTCCTCCGAGATCTGTGAAGCACCACCGCATCTTTTCAAACCGCCGCTCATGCACTGGACAGCCGAACGCGCTCGGAGGAAAGCGCCAACCACCAGCTCTGTTACGTCAGCTATCAGACACCTGCGCTGGCTAGCATCGCGCTAAGTGATGGGGGAAGACGGAGGGCCATCCTACCCACCCAGAGAGTGAGGGCAATTGTGCTCGCTTGGACTCCCAGCCACGGGCGACCGTAGCATCACAAAGGATTGAACTCACGATCTCCTGATCACAGGGCCAACGCTTCAACGGTTGCGCTACTTGGGAGCCCGAATACTGGTGGTTTGATGGAGGATAGTGGTTTGTGAGAATGTTGGTGTTTTGGTTGAGAATGATGTGTTTGAGAATGTTGGTACCTTGGTAGAAAATCTTGCCATTTTGTAGGAGAATGCTGGCGTTTCGGCTGAAGAAGTGTTGGTGTTTAAAGGACAATGTTGACGCTTGGGTGGAGAATGATGGTGTTTCGTTGGAGATGTGTTTGAGAATGTTGGTACTTTGGTGGAATATGTTGCCATTTTGGTACCGAATGTTGGTGTTTTGTTGGAGCATGTGGATGTTTGGTGGAGAGCGATTGTGTTTGATGGAAAATGTTGACATTTAAGTGGAGAACGATCACGTTATGGTGGTGTTTTTGTGAACTGGTCCCAAAACTGCTGGGTGAAGATTCCTGCAGAATCTGTAGAGGCGCTATTCTTGTTCAAATCTTATCCAAAAATTAGAAAAGAAAATACCTGCACAGCTGGTAAGAGGTGTGTGTGAGTGTGTGAGTGTGTGTGTGTGGTGGCCTGTCTGTTGGCGGATTGAGTAATGAGCAGACAAGGATGCGTATCCCATCAGCCACCTGGGGCCAATGGTGTCAATTCTGTCACTTCCTGTCAGAGGGCTGAGAGACGGCTGTCGACACTCAGTCATCTCCCCTTATCCACAGCATGCGCGCACACACACACACACACACACACACACACACACACACACACACACACACACACACTCAAGTCTGCCTCTTTCCATCACAATAAACAGTGTTACAGCAGCAGAACCCAGAGGTTCCACACTGATGTTATCAGCCAAAAAGCACAACAAACCCCCGCGCTCCCTCTTCCTGTCTAAAGCCCAGCAACAACTTCCCCCAACTCAGACACAGCAAGAGCCAAACCATGAGGCCTAGCGAAGTCTCTCCTTTTCACACATGGGCATGAACCTTCGAGTGATACAGTAAAATTTTAACATCTTTTATACAAATACAATCCTAGAAAAGCCGGGGCAGTATAAGAAATACAAATAAAAACAGAAAGCAGTGATTTATGAATCCATTTTGACCTACATCTAAATGAAAACATGCCAAAAATGCATCAGCAATTAGTCAAACTGTTTAAAATCATTAAAAGATACAGGGAATCCAGAAAAATGTCTGCAAGGCAAAAATCACAACGAATTGCTTCTGATGGTCGACCCCTCAGGCAGCACTGCACTAAAAACTGGCATGTTTCTGTGATGGATATCACCACATGGGCTCGGGAACACTTTAACAAACCGCTGTTGCATCCACACAAGCTAAGACTGTACTAACTGGGGGTGGGGGGAGTGGGGGATTTTAGTGAAAATATTTTTTGTGAATGCGTCATTTACACTGAAAGATATGAAAATTCTGAAGCAACACATCACTGTTGCTGGAACAAAACCTCATATCTCCAAAATGGTAACTTTACAGGAGAAGGAAAAAACCTACTTTACTTTTAATGTAAGTCAATGGAACCAGACTTTTTTCCAAGTCATTTTAGGCCGTTTCTTTTGGTCCATTCATCATGAAATTGACACATAATGTAAAGAGCGACAAGCCTTTTTACAATTATATCAAAAACTGAAAAAAAGTCAAAAATGGAGATACGAGGTTTTCTTCCGACAGCAGCGATAAGTTGCCTTCTAGATGACGTCTTTTTTAGGGACGTCCATGCTCATTTCAACATGACAACACTAAGAAACATTCTGTACATGTTTGAACGGCATGGCCACATAATCAGAGAGTGCGGGTGCTAAACTGTCCTGCCTGTCTCTTAATGAATGTAATAATAATGATGTTAATGATAATAATGTGTGGCACATTATGAAGAGCAACACATGACAACAAAGGCACTTGGGCAGCTGTAGACTTGTATAACTGAAGAATGGCAAAACATGTCACTTTCAAAACTGGATCAACTGGTATCTTCAGTCCCCAAACGTTTATTAAGTGGAAATGTGATGCAACCCAGCAGTAAACATGCTCCTGTCCCGACTTTTTTGGAATATGCTGTAGGCTGCATATTTGGAATGAGAATTTTTTTAGAAAAAACAATAGTATTCATAAGTCATCAAATATGATGATTTTCTACAGTTTTCACTTTAATACAGGTGAAACAGAATTTACAAATCACTGCTTTCTGTTTTTTTTCACACCCAACTTTTGTGCCAACTTTTCTGGAATGAAGTTTGTACGGTAATTATCTATTTATAGCCAATTATTGTCAAGTTATCTGCCTTGACATAAAAAATAAACTTGTAATACATCCAAATATAACAACGGCATAATGGGCTGACATTTACAGCAGTGACAAGTGCTTTAAACCTGGCTTGTCCTCATCAAAACAAAATTCTTGACCTGCAGTTAGTGGTCCATACAAGTGGCTGTTGGGCTTTCATGCACGCACAGTGTCTGTGTGCCGGCTTTAGGAGTGATAAGCTCCCTCTTAGTGAAAGACTGCCTTTGTTTCACAGTCCAGCAGCAACAAAACCCACAAAGAACCATCGCAAGAATGTCCTTGCTTTCACTCAGGCAAGGACAGCCCATAATAACTAGAACGGACACCGGCACGCTCAAACGCACAGTTGTCACCCGTCAGACAGTCCACAATAACTGTTCCATTCATTGAGGGAAGAGCATCAAAATAAAAACAAATAAAAAGACAAGCCACTACATTAATTATCTATAATTAGCTATTTATGACAACGGATTACAGCCAAGTTAGCACTACCATTCGGGCATTCTAGCCTACGCAGGGCATGTGTATGTGTTTCAGTGGTGAGGAAGGTGGAGGAAACACTGAATTGAGGGGCTGCATTTGTTGAGTTTTCAAGCAGTTAGTGGCAGCCAAGCTCTACCAATAATGTCAGGCCTCTAAAATAGGGATGAAATGATAAGGCAACTGTGGGCCAATCCATATATCTGATATTTTTTATGTATGTATCTACTGCTGCTGATAGAGATACATATTTATAAAATGCAGAAATTGGGACATCTGACTGGATTAGTAATGTGGAGAAATATAACACATTCTGTAGGATGACAGATATAGAAAAGTTAATAAAATGTAAATATTTTAGCATAGAAGGCCGGCATCACTTTTTAATGTAGAAATTGGGACGTCTCCCTGGATTAGCAATGTGGAGAAATTTAATACTTATTTCTGTGGGATTGAAGATACAGTAAAGTCAATAAAACGTCATTATTTTTAGCGAAGTAGGCCATAATCACCTTGTAATGTAGAAATTGGGACATGTCCCTGGATTAACAATGTGGAGAAATATAACACTTATTTCTGCAGTATTATAGATATAGTAAAGTCAATAAAATGTAAACATTTTTAGCACAGTAGACAGGCATCACCTAAATGTTCTGCTCTTTCAAAGTCCAATACGTGCATAATCAAAAAAAAAGTAGGAAATGAGAGAGAGTGCAAAAGAGAGGAAAAGCATGAGATGAGAAAGAGAGACCACTCAAAGTAGAGAGGAAAAACATGAGACAGAACTCATTAGAGAGGGAGAGAAAGCATGAGACGAGAGAAAGAGTGCAAAAGAGAGAGATACAAGGCATGAGGCAAGAGAAAGAAAGAGTGCAAAAGAGAGAGATACAAGGCATGAGGCAAGAGAAAGAAAGAGTGCAAAAGAGAGAGATACAAGGCATGAGACAAGAGAAAGAAAGAGTGCAAATAAGAGAGATAGAAAGTATGAGATGATAGAGAGAAAGAGAGCTCAAAAGAGAGAAAAAGCATGAGATGAGAGAGAGAAAGAGATAGAAAAAAATATGAGACAAGAGAGAGAAAGAGAGAGAAAAAACATGAGACTAAAGAGAATGCAAAGGAGAGAGAGAAAAAGCAAGAGACAAGAGAGAGAGCACACTAAAAAGAGAGAGAGAAAGCATGAGACAAACAGTAGAAAGATATACACACGAAAGCTCAGGATGAAAATTAGAAATTGAGAGATAAAGAAAGAGAGTGAGGCAGAAAAAAGCATTAGAAAGCAAATCATGAGAACATAAGAGACAGACAGAGAGACAGAGTGAGACAGACGGAGACAGAAAAAAAACATGAGAACATTTGTGAGAACGAGAGAGAGCGCAACTGACAGAGAGAGAGAGAGAGAGAGAGAGAGAGAGAGAGAGAGAGAGAGAGAGAGAGACAGACAGACAGACAGACAGACAGACAGACAGAAACAGAGAGATAGAAAACAGCCATGAGAACTTTCTTTTCTACTGTATGCCACAGTATCTTCATCATCTCCATCCTCCTCCTCTCTCAGGGAAACATCGTTCGACACCCCCGCTGTCAAAAAATAAACCAACGCCGGCCTGCCGGATATTACCCACAATCCCCCCACCACCGCGACCACGCAGCTCACACGAACGAGAGTAAAAGAGGAGAAGAATGTGGACAGTGACTGTGCCGAGGGATGGACACATGCTGAGGGATGAAGAGAACGAAGGGGGGAAGAAAAAAAAAAAGAAAATTTCCCCCCTCCAGCTGGGTTTCCGTAGCGGAGGGGAAAGCCCAGAGCGAGAGAACAAAGTGGGGAAGCCAGTGATTAACACATCCCCTGATGATTCCAGCTCTCTCTTTATTATGTTGTTTTCAGTGGTGATAGCCCCTCTGTCTGCTGACCCAGCAGTCTGCAGGACGCATGTGCCCGTTTGCATGCAAGATAATAAAAGCAACGGTTGACAGATTTTAGATGAGGATGCAGGCGTTCAGCATGAGATCCAGCTTGCACGTGACGTGAAGGACAGAATTACGAGACCAAGGTCACCATGCGAGGATCATCGAGCAGCTTCACTGCACTAACGTCAGCTTTAGCCGGTTAGACAGCTCTAATGTATTCGCACACTGCTGGTAAAATGAGCCTCTCCTCACCTACAGCCCACAGCACCGTGCTGAACGTGTCCTGATGTTCCTGCTTGCTCTGCGTGTCGGTCCAGGTGACCTGCAGAAGCCCCGACGGAAGCTTCTCCACCTTCTTAGGCACGGCGTCCCAGGAGAAACGCGTCCCGTACGCCTCCATGTAGTCCGTCACCAGCCGGGACATTTGCTGAAAGAAGCATCAGTAAAGAGGAACAGCAGTGAATCTACGTGAATGCACTTTCAGCAAAAAGGGTTCTATATAGTACCAAAAAGGGTTCTGTAACTTGTAAGAACAGCAGAACCATTTTGGAGATGCACAGATCCGATTTTGAAAAAGTTCTCACTCTCTCAGGGAAACAGACATGGTTCTACATAATACAAAACAGGGTTCTGCTACTGTTACAAGTTAAGACGCAGAATTATACAGCTTATATATGTATATATAGCTAAATGTTTATGTCAACTATAACTTAAAACAAAATGAACCATTTTAAATAATAAATAATATAAATAATTAAATAAAATAATTAAATAATAATCCTCAAATAATAAAAATATTAACTAGAATTTGGATATAATAATATTTAAATAACAGTAACAACCCTAATGATATTCTAACTTAATCTTAACAACAACAACAACAACAACAACAACAACAACAACAAAGCCACATAAAAATACAGTCTGGGCTGTCAAGGTTCTATCTATCTATCTATCTATCTATCTATCTATATATATAGAAATTTCAAATAATAAACCTATTAACTAGAACTTGGATATAATATTTGTATAACAATAACAACCCTAATTATATTTAAAATAATAATAATAATAATGATAATAATAATTATTATAATATTACAAAGGCAATAATAATAAAAATTACAAAGGCACACATAAAAATACAGTCCGGGTTGTCAAGGTTCTATCAATTATCTTTACTAAAGAACCTCAAAAACCTTTTTCCTCTAGAATTATTTTATATATATGTATACACACACACACACACACACACACACACACACACACACACACAGTCACTAGAGTTCTCAAGACAAGTTGCAAACTATCCAAACTACTGTTATATGGAATACTACATAGCATGCTTTAAGTAATGTATACGCTGCATGCTGAATACTGAATTTTGCAAACGTGGCGATATGGTGGACGACTGTAACCCAGCATCTTCCTTTAGCCATTACTGGTGTTCCTAGTGTGCTGCTTAATGAGAAAATCACGGCAAAGCACAAGGCATTAGAGTCAAACCATTAATTACAGATTTGGGATTCAAAAACAAGGCAATAAAACAAGTCTGGCCAAGTTTGACATCCTGTTTTCCTGTAGCGTTCTGGCAGGTTTGGCAGAGGTGACTCACTAGAGAGAGTAACACAGCGGGTCAGAGAGTCTCTGTTTCTGTTTGTGTAAAAGCTCTTCCACAGTGTTTCTCCAGCTTAGATCTGTTTTCTGGAGCGCCTTGGACAAATCAAGTGCAATCAGACCCTGGCCCATATCAATCCTGATCCCTGATAAAGGGTATATGGCGCCACATCCTGGACTAAGATACCAGGCACTGTGAAGAGGCCGAGGTATGTAGAACATCTGCCCACTGAAAACCAAACTAGGGCCATTAGCTACGCAAATCTTGCAGAGACGGATCACAGGAGCCTGGAAACAAGCATAAACTGTGTCTGCAGATATCTTTAAAAAATTAATTTGTGTTTCATAACACTTAAAATGATCTATTTTGGGATGTGGTTGGCAAAGCTGTAGGGACAGATTGCTGACCAGGCCACTGAGGCTAGTGCAAATGCCATAAACTTGGGGGCAGTCAAGGGCCGGAGGTTAGGGAACCAGCCCTGTGACTGGAAGGCTGCCGGTTCGATCCCTTGAGCAAGGCACCTAAGCCCTAACTGCTCCCCGAGCTCTGCGGATAGGGCAGCCCACTGCTCCGGGCACATGTGCTCACTGCCCCCTAGTGTGTGTATGCATTCACTAGTGTGTATGTGGTGTTTCACTGCACGGATGGATTAAATGTGGAGGTGAAATTTCCCCGTTGTGGGACTAATAAGGGTCACTTAATCTATAAAATCTTAAAAAAACAAAATATTAACTTTTAATTAGTGTGCAGTAGCTTGTTTCTTGCTCAGTTCTATTACATTATTGCACACTTACATTATTCATAATACAAAATAGGATAGGAAAAGTAAAATAAACACAGTTGTATGCCAAAATTTGGGCGATCCTGGTTCAATTACATGTTTCATTGATTTTCCAAGTGAAAATAAGTTCACACATTCTCTACAGATGACACCGTTCTGCACATTTATTTTTTTTAACTTTTGATACTTTTAATGTATTAAACCTTTAATTTTATAAAACTTTAATATCTTTAAATCTCTATAACAGAACTATTTTTCAAATAGCTGTTTGGAAAAATGAGAATCAGAGGCAGGTTTTGTATTTTAAAGCAGGAGTTCTGCAGGAGGAGGGTCGGTCAGAGAAATCATATTTTCTGTGTTTAATGCAATACCTGGTCGAACCCCCGGAGGGCGATGCTGCGCACCATCACAGTGGCGTCCAGTCCGATGCCTGTGAGAAACCCAGCACACTCCAAACCCACATCTTCACTCAGAGTTCAGGAAAATACACATCAACATATGAACAAGTGTAGATTAGTGTTTTGCTATTATACTGCTATTATCAAATTATCATATTGCTATTATTATATTGCTTCCTATTGCAATTATGATACACCTTGCAATGTATATACACGTAATGAATGAGTAATGTGATACGGATAAAGATGAGCCTGTATTTTATATATATGATACACTCATTTTTATTATTTTTTTGTCTTGTCTCTTTAACTGAAGATTGTGCTCAGATGACTCTCAGGCAGATCTGATCTACTCATCTGAGGCTTTTGCACAAAACTATACTTAAAAAACCCAGTTTGAGTGTATTTTAAAGTATTTTAAATTAGAAAAGAATGCAAAATAGGAGCATTATTACTACATAGTTATTACATTATTATTACAAAGTGGTGTCAGACTTCTGGACAGTGCGCACAATATATTATTCTCATTAAAAATATTATTATTCTTTTAAAAGCGTCCATTAGAGGCAATTTTGCAAGTTCATCATGTTCTGTCCCTCAATATCTGTGCACCAATCCAAACACCACTCTGGTTAAAGGGAGAATTCCATTGATTGATGTTTCAGAATTTCTGCCTAATTCATTGGTTGAGACGTAAACAAAGAGTTCTTTGATGTGAAAAGGTTCATTGTAGAGAAACTTCTTGAACTTCTTTACAGTGGTGGTAATGGGAACCAGGGGTCACCATGTCTACAGCACAAATACAGACACTTTATTTACTGTCCAAAACCTCCACGTCTTCTGAGTTTTTATACGCAATAATGTCTAATAATTTAATAATCTGAAAAAATAAGTTTTCTTTCGGGACTGTTTTGCCTCACAGCAACCTGCATGTATCTCTCCACCATAAATGGATTTCAAAAATGGCTTATCTCTTGAAAAACATTGTCTAGAGCTTTAATTCTGAACTATTTCATGCAATAACTTTCCGTGAAGAAGTTTTTGGAGGCACTAAACTCTTCAGGCGTCTGGTTCCTATCACCACCACTGTGAAGAATTTTGAGTCTGTAAGCTTCTCTAGAAGGGAGAGATTCATATTAAACCACTCCGAAGGACTTTTTTTTACATGTTAACCATTTTAATTATGCAGAAATTTTCCATATTAACTTTATCTGAAGACACTGCCTGTGTTATTTTGTAATGCAACAACATAAACACTTCTTCTGCACAAAGATCTGTACCAACGGTGTCAAATGTTTCACCTTTCTGTCAACCCTCTTCTGGACTAAGATAAATCCAATTAGAGTCAATAGTGCAAAAGGATACAGCTGGCTCCAACCACTAGCCTGAAACACACAAAACAGGGGAACACATTAGGAGTGCAAAGAACATGTTCAATATCTAACTAAATGTCTGTACAGTTAAAAGCATAAACAGAGGATAGTGGTACAGCCCAGAGCACACAGGCCCAACAGTCTCCAACAAACACTGACAAACCCAAACGTTGGGCTGGTGTGTTGTACCTGTGTGTGATTGTTGGGAGTTGCTAGAACGTTCTCGCTCATGTACACTGGTTCATTTGGGCTGTCAGAGCTTATACTGGGACAGAATAAAGCCAAACACTGGAACGACGGGGTTTTGGTGAGGACTGGAGGTGTTCTGGCGAGGAATATTTGCAGTGGAATGGAGGTGTTAAGAGTGCTTTGGTGGATAATGCTGGTGTTTTGACAGAGAATGGTGGCGTTTGGTGAAGAATGGTGGTGCTTAGAAGGAGAATGGCGGTGCACTGCAAAGAATAGCAGTGTTTGATGAAGAATGGTGGTGTTGAGATGGAGAACGGTGGTACATGGCAAAGAATGTTGGTGTTTGGTGAAGAATGGTGGTGTTTAGATGGAGAATGATGGTGTTTGTTGGAGAATGCTAATGTTTGGTGAAGAGGCGTGGTGTTTTGATACACGACAGTGGTACACAGCAAAGAATAGTGGTGTTTGGTGAAGATTGGTGGTGTTCAGATGGAGAATGGTTGTATACGGTAAAGAATGGTGTTGCTTCATGAAGAATGGTGGTGTATAAAAGGAGAATGAAGGTGTTGGAAAATGTTGGTGTTTGGTGAAGAATGGTGGTGTTGAGATGGAGAATGGTGGTACATGGCAAAGAATCGTGGTGCTTCATGAAGAATGGTGGTGTTTTGATGGACAATGATGGTGTTTGTTGGAGAATGCTAATGTTTGGTGAAAAATGGTGGTGTTGAGATGGAGAATGGTGGTACACGGGCAAAGAATGGTGTTGCTTCATGAAGAACGGTGGTGTATAAATGGAGAACGATGGTATTTGTTGGAAAATGGTGATGTTTGGTGAAGAAAGGGAGTGTTTAGATGGAGAATGGTGATACACGGCAAAGAATGGTGGTGCTTTGTGAAGAATGGTGGTGTTTTGATGGACAATGATGGTGTTTGTTGGAGAATGCTAATGTTTGGTGAAGAATGGTGGTGTTTTGATGGAGAATGGTGGTACACGGCAAAGAACGGTGTTGCCTCATGAAGAATGGTGGTGTATAAATGGAGAACAATGGTATTTGTTGGAAAATGGTGATGTTTGGTGAAGAATGCAAGTGTTTAGATGGAGAATGGTGGTACACGGCAAAGAATGTCGGTGTTTGGTGAAGAATGGTGGTGTTTTGACGGAAAACGACGGTACACGGCAAAGAACAGTGGTGCTTTGCGAAGAATAGTGGTGTTTAGATGGAGAACGGCGCTGTTTGGTGAAGAATGTTTGGAGGAGAATGTTAGTGCTTAGAGAGGAATGATGGTGTTTGGTGAATAATGGTGTCACTGGACGTCCACAGCCATCGTTAAGATTTGTTAAATTTCATCACCAGCAAACTTGATTTAACATAAGTACATGAAGCACTGATCAGCCAATCCAAGTATTGGATGCTGACTACAAATAATACTGAGCTTCCTCAAGGAGAGGTTGGGAAATGGTTGAACAAACACACTGAAAGACATAAAATCACCAAGTACTGTATAAATACTATTTGTATTTATTCCAATCGTGCTTTTCCAAGAAAATAAATGCATACTGAACAGATAAACAGCTGTTTAAATGAAAAACATGACAATGCCCCAACCGACCTCAGAGATTAGTCATCATCGTGACAGAGCGTGTTCCACAGCTTTAGAAGAATAAAGGAAAAGACTGAGAACAGACGAGAAAAGAGAGGGAGGCGAGGTCTAATGGAAGGTTTCAGAGGTTTCGCGTGTGCGGTCGGGGTGATGAAGTGAAAGGTAATTGCAGGTGCTGTGGCTAATCCTCACAAACGTGATGCTATGTTGTTAGCGTCTGTTAGCGTCTCGGTCCAGACTACACACTGCTGAGTGATGCCCGCATCTGACATACACACTCAGACAGACTTACGGAGACCACCCTGCAGACCAACAGCCATCTACACTCAGCATTCTTTCGTGTTCTGGCTTAGCAAAGGATTAGGAGCAGAATGTCAGCACTGTATCCTCCTCTCACTGCACCAAAACATCTCCACACGCCCCCATGTGAGGGATATTATGTTACTTATGGTCCGTCTGCCATCATTCAGAACTGTCCTTAAAGGGAAATTACCCACATTTTCAAAATTTCCATGTAATTCAATGGTTGAAACAGAAGTGATTCAGAGTGGTTTGATGAGAAATAACCAATCAGATTTCTTTACGTTGGTGGTGATAGAAATCAGAGGTTGTGACGTCTATAACACAAATATAGCCATTTTATTTACTATCCAAAATGGCCAGTGAAGCTACACGTCTCCTGAGTTTTTATATATAACATTAATCATGATGAATAATGGTTAATCTGGGGGAGGGAGGTTTACTTTGAGGACTATTTTGCCTTAAATAAAACATTTTTTGTCATTAACAAATAAAAAAATGCAGTTTAGGTCAAAATCTTATGGCAAAACTACCATAAAACAGTTTTTATATGCAATGCTGATTACGGTAAAATAGTAAGAAATCTGAAAAAATGAGTTTCCTTTTGGGACTATTTTGCCTCACAACAAGTGACTATTTCATGCAGTAACTTTCTGTGAGGGAGCTTTTAGAGGCATTAAACTCTTCAGACGTCGGGTTCCCATCACCACCACTGTGAACACTTCTGACTCGGTAAGTTTCTCTGAGCATTTCACATCAAACCTCTGATGAATGACTTTGTTTACATCTTAACCATTTAATTATGCAGACATTTTGAACAAGTAAGGAGGGCTCTGCAGCACCCCCAGATTTCAGGATTGTTTACTCGCAACTGCTAAAAACAGCAGAAGAATAACAACAGAACTTTGAAATATTCTAAGCATTGAAAAAGTGTGGAGTCTGTATTTTTAAAATTTTATGTATACAAGTTCAAAATCTACCCGCTGGTTAAGTTATTGCTCCATTTTGGAGAGAAGTGAATCGCTTCCCATGCCAACTGTTCACGAAAACTTTCCTAAGAAAAAACTTGCGAAGGTTTTTAAAACAAACACTAAGAAGTTTATAAAAAACTTATTAACTACAATTCTTGAAAAAACTTAAGTAGTTCTCAAATATTCTCATAAGATAATCTTAATTAGCTCCTTAAGACTTTCGGAAGTAAATCTTCTTTGTTTTCTTATGTCGGCTACATTGCATTTAACAGCTTCCCATAAACGACACAAGATACAATTTGAATTTGTATTAACTGTTATTTCCGTTAGTTTAAACCACTCAGAGGCGCAAAAGAGAGGCAATACATCAAACCAAGCATTTAAAAAAATGTAGCTAACCAAATCTAAAGGTGATGGAGGAAGAAACAGCCAACAGGACAAATCCTCCTTAGAAAATATGATAATTGTTGGGCGACGGACGAGGATGAGGAGCAGCGGAGATAAATTTAGATGCTCACCTCGTCAACTCTTACAGCCGGAGGCAGAGTGAGTCTGTTGTAAGTTTAAGAAAACATTTAAGGACATAATACAACATAGAACACAGAACAGTTGTCCTTAGGACTATTCTGAAGAAAATAAGAGAATTCTTAAATTATTTCAAGAATAACATTATTCCATAACTTTTTTCTTAAGAATTAAGTTATGAAAAAAAACACACATTTAAGAAGATTTTCTTTTCTAAGACACTTTTGTGAATCTAGCCCTAGGAGTTTCTAGCAGGCTAGTTCTGTGTCCCAAAGTGGGCATCGTTAACGTAAACGTAAAAATTTCAGTCAAAGTAATTATCTCCCATCCATCATCCTTCAACCACCGTAAACACCTCCCACTAGATGTGCGTGTGTAGCTGGATGAGTGTGAAACAAGTGGTTCCTGTGCCTCATATGAACAATCTGATTGGACAACATCATGAGAGTTTAATACTAATCAAAGGAATTAATTAATTAATTAAGTGGATATAATCACTGATCTGATTTACTGGACTGGAGCGTGAGCACTGGTGTTATTATTCCTCTGCTGTCAGCTCCAAAATTATCGATGCCAACGGTAAAGATGGGAAAACAAAGTCATGAAAAGTGTCTTTGGTAATCAGATCCCTCTCACTTTGAAAATGAGGGAAATCTAGCATTAAATTGAACTAAATGTAGTGTAAGAAAACAAATAACCTCATCAGATTTTTTTCCATTTGGCACAATGACTGGCGCCCATGGAAATTTCTTACGAACAACGTAACTCTGTATATATCTAGTATATACAGATATATATACAGCTCTCCTTGCCCCCCTCCTCTCTCTCTCGTGCGTGCCAGTCTCTACCCACAGTTCCGTCCGTCACTCAGCGATGCCCCGCCAGCAGGTGATTGGCTGTCGACTCTATTGACCCTCTAGCTGCTCACCTGACAACTCATCCACAACATGCCACAGCAGCAGCTGGAGCGGAGAACACAGCTGCCGCACGCTGAGCTCACTGTAAGTGTGCACGTGTGATATAAACTAGGAAACAGCATCTACATGAGTGCATGCAAAATTATATACACTGACCAGACACTTCATTAAGTCCACCTCCTTGTTTCTACACTCTTTGTCCATTTTATCAGCTTCACTGACCATGTAGGTGCACTTTGTAGTTCTACAGTTACAGACTGTAGTCCATCTGTTTCTCTGCATACTTTGTTAGCCCCCTTGTACCCTGTTCTTCAGTGGTCAGGACCCCCATGGACCCTCACAGAGCAGGTATTATTTGGGTGGTAGGTCATTCTCAGCTCTGCAGTAACACTGACGTGGTGGTGGTGGTGTGTTATTGTGTGTTGCACTGGTACAAGTGGATCAGACCCAGCAGTGTTGCTGAAGTTTTGTGCCTGATTACTGTCCAGTCTATTAGATACTCCTTGCTGGTCCATCTTGCGTGTAAAATCATAGACAATAGTAGTTGCTGTTGTGACTTTATCTCATAAGAAACAAAGTCTGATTGATGCATCTATTTATATCATTTATAAGTGCTTTCGCTACACAGTGGCATTTTAACTGCTGTTTGAACAATTTTTTCATTTTGGCCATTGTTTTTACAGAATTTGAAAATTCCGCCACGTCACCATTTCATGGCTGAGATTTCGTGATGTACTGAATAACGTTAAAGTGAACCACTATGAGGTCAGAGATTTACACCCCTAGAGAAACGTGATGGACAGACACAGTACAACAGAACAGGGAAAGGAAAGAGGTTATGAGGTTATCTATCATGGATCACTTCATCACTCACTCACGTTTTTCCTGGAGACTCTTTGAGCCAGAAGAGATCATCGCTGCTGATGCCGAACTCCAGAGCTCCTGGAACCTGCAATACGGAACAGAAACTTCAGCAGCTTCCTCTGACAGAACCTTATCTGGACAGCAAGAACAGTCCGATCAGAATGACAACACCCACAGCATGATTCACAACCAAGATATGTTTTATATATAAATATATATATATATTCATCCTTTATCTTTCTTTCATCCTTTCTATCATCCTTTCATCCTTCCTTTTTTCCTTTCATTCATCCTTTCTATCATCCTTTTTATTCTTTCATTGTTTCATCCTTTTATCCTTCCTTCCTTTCTTTCAGTCTATCCTTTTTATTCTTTTATCATTTCATCCTTTCATTCATCCTTTCACCCTTCCTTTCTTTCATTCATTCTTTCATCTTTTTTATTCTTTCATCGTTTCATCCTTCCTTCCTTTCTTTCTTTCTTTCATCCTTTTTTCTTTCATTGTTTCATCCTTTCATCCTTCCTTTCTTTCTTTCAGTCAGTCTATCCTTTTTATTCTTTTATCATTTCATCCTTACATTCATCCTTTCACTCTTCCTTTCTTTCATCTTTTTTATTCTTTCATCGTTTCATCCTTTCATCCTTCCTTTCTTTCTTTCATTCATCCTTTTTATTCTTTCATTGTTTCATCCTTTCATCCTTCCTTTCTTTCTTCCTTTCTTTCTTTCAGTCAGTCTATCCTTTTTATTCTTTTATCATTTCATCCTTACATTCATCCTTTCACTCTTCCTTTCTTTCATCTTTTTTATTCTTTTATCGTTTCATCCTTTCTTCCTTCCTTTCATCCTTCCTTTCTTTCTTTCATTCATTCTTTTTATTCTTTCATTGTTTCATCCTTCCTTTCTTTCTTCCTTTCTTTCTTTCAGTCAGTCTATCCTTTTTATTCTTTTATCATTTCATCCTTTCATTCATCCTTTCATCCTTCCTTTCCTTCATTCATCTTTTTTTATTCTTTCATCATTTCATCGTTTCATCATTTCATTCTTTTTTTCTTTCTTTCTTTCTTTCTTTCTTTCTTTCTTTCTTTCTTTCTTTCTTTCATCCTTCCATCCTTCCTTCCAAGGTTGTGTTTACTTCTTTCACTTCAAAAGCCAACAGATTATGTTATTTGTTCAGGGCTGCCCAAATGTTTTTGTAAAAAGGTATGAAAAATGACTTTAACACTGCTGCCCCACTGAAGATGATGGAGATGATGGAGATGATTGGAAACAATGTCACATGATATATTGCGTTCACAGAATGAAAGTAATGCTACTGAATTACTACTGAAGTAATAAATACATTCTGATGAAGCTTATTTTGTCTGTTCACACAGCCATAACAAAAAGCACTGCTTTTTAAAAAGAAAAAACTTCCTTTAGGATCAAAAAGAGCAAATAAATGAAATGCTGACAGGCCAAATGTATCTCCAGTTAAACTCCAGTCAAATCACCCCCGCCTGCACTCCTGGGAGGGAAGCAAAGTCTGCCTCCCTGTAAGCATTTTATCACTGACTGCTCACTGAACAGAAGTAATTAAAAGTCCCATCCTTACAGACAGAAGGAGGAAACATTATCAGACGCTCGCTCACAAGTTTTAACAGCAAGGTCAGACACTACAACACAGACACTTACATGCGTGGGGTACTTCGGTCGTCCACCAGTGGCTATCACAACGTTCCGGGCTGTCACAGTCATCTGCAGATAGGAAGCAAAGTCATAGAGAACAATAATTAAAGTGCACGACTCCACTACTAATGTCCTTCACAGTGATGACCTTAAATAAAATAAAATAACATTTTTATCAAAGCAGGTACCTCCTTTCCTTTGGCATTCATGCCTCTGATAGTGTGCTCGTCCACCAGACTGCCTTTCATATTCAGATACTTCACTTTCCTGCACAAACACAGAGAGGCTACTGTACGGTATGCATCAACGACAGCCCATGACCCCAAACAACCACAGCAGGCCAGCCTTACGGTCATGACACTGGCTTACTTCACGGTTTTACTTCTTTTATTTTTCTCTACTTTTGTGATTTCTCTGGAAAATACTTCCTTTTACTCTTACTCTACACATATGCAAAAGTTTGAGCACCCCATGTCAAACATGTTTTGCTGATTTTTTGAATTAAAATAAGTTAACACATCCTATACAAACGGCTTAAATATGGCACTGTTCTGTACAGTTTAGTGCACAATTTCTATTACTTTCTTAGTTTAACATATTGGGGATATAAAAAAATCTAAAATGTATACAAAATATGTTTTAAAACTTCTTGCAAGATGGGGAAAATGGGCAAAGGCCACATTTTATGTTTATTTATCCCCCTGATTCGTCAAATACAGCAAATAAACAGTAACTGTGTATTAAAATGAGCAGAAGTGTGTTCTCTGTAAAGATGCTCTCCAGTGAGAGCAACAGCGGCTGCACATTCCAACCAATGAGTGTATATATCATAAACGTTTTGTCGTTTGCAAAAGTCTGTGCACCCCTGGTCAGACCACATATTTTGTTGAGGTGAAAATAAATGAACAAATCTTCTATGGAGAATATATTTCTGCACATGTTAACGGTACAATTGCTGTTTATTTGCTTATTAACATATTTTATATGTTTTTTTTTCTAATATGGTAAACTCAGCAAATAAATAAAAACTGTGCACTAAAATGTGCAGAATAATGCCGTATTTCATTGCGCTCTCTGTAGAGGATGTGTCCACTTAGAAAAGCAATAATACATGTAATTTGACCAGGGGTGTTCAAAGTTACTTAACAAGCGTAAAACTGTATATCATTCATAGAGTCAATGATTCAGCTTCTTTGCGACTGCAGCCTCTCACTCTCGTTCACACAGTGTGTGGATTCCTGCTGCAGTGAAGGGGAACCAGAGCTTTCTGCTTTACTGTTGACCTCTGAAGTTGGTCATTTTGAGGTCAGTGTCATACCCAAATTTGGAACTCTGGGTCTGATCACGGGTCCTCGTTGGAAAAAATGAACGGTGTTTTTTAAAAAAAAATCACGGCTAGTTTGTATCTCACCGCTATAGCTTTGGTTTTATAAGGACAAAAACCTTTTAAAAGCTGTATTTGTGGAAAAGGGCTTATGAGCCACACAGCACACAAGTAGCCAAACTGAACTACTACAGATGGTTTGAAGGGTTAAACTAGGAAAAAACATAAAAAAAAAATGTAATTAATAATATATCACATTAAACGACTATATATATATATATATATATATATATATATATATATATATATATATATATATATATATATATATATATACACACACCGACCTTGTTTCTAGGCTCATTGTCCATTTTATCAGCTCCACTTACTATATAGGTGCACTTTGTAGTTCTACAGTTACAGACTGTAGTCCATCTGTTTCTCTGCATACTTTGTTAGCCTGTTCTTCAGTGGTCAGGACCCCCCCATGGACCCTCACAGAGCAGGTACTATTTGGGTGGTGGATCATTCTCAGCACTGCAGCAACACTGACGTGGTGGTGGTGTGTTAGTGTGTGTTGCGCTGGTCTGAGTGGATCAGACACAGCAGTGCTGCTGGAGAATAATCCCTGATAGGCTGATGTCTGCTTCTGTTTAACAACACTCAAACTCTATTTAAGGTAAGCTGAACTAGACCACACATTTTGTTAAACTGGCCAGGATAATTAAACACTGTATTGATATTCTGTTTTGTAGGCTCACTGCAAATCAATGGGCATTTTGTACTTAAATAATAATAAAAGACAAACTTAAAATGTGTATGAAAATAACAGGGAAAGCAGTTCATTGTACAAATTACAACATTAAATATTTAATTGTGTAATGAACATTTCATCTTCTAGATGCTTGCAGTCCTGATGTTTACAAAGTATTTAACACTTGTATTAAAACTGTTTGTTAGTGTCAAATAAATAAAGAACACTTGAATTATGTAATTATATGTTTATTCTTTGTCTTTTACTTATACTTATATATTTTTTTTTACTTTTAACAGCGGCCGCGATGTGGCGACTGCTAATAACATTAATTAACCATGAACATCAACTTTATTAAGACATAAATAATGTTTACAAAGTATTTAACACTTGTATTAAAACATGTTTGTTAGTGTCAATTAAATAAAGAACACCTGAATTATATCATGTTTATTTTATTTTTTTTACTTTTTTCTTGTTTATGTCTTTGGATTTATTCATGTCAATAGCTGAATACAATTGTGTACAGTTAATATTTACTATTTCATTTAACGTTTAATGTTTAAGAACTATAACGCAAATTCAACATTTCTTAATGATGTCTTTTCACAGGTATCGTGTACTTATTCATGACTTTAAATCTCTCACTTCATTCTCAGTATCAGCCTTTTGAGAACTGCCCTTGGACAGTCTACCCTGGTCTTAAGCGCCCCCATGTGAACTTTTCATCCAGTACAGATATTAACAACCCACATCGCCCACACGTTTGTTGTGAAGGCCGTTTCAGTCTTTGATCTTCCCTCAGCTCTGCTCGCTCCATCCCATGACGGAAACTGTCAATGAAGGAATTCGAGCCAAATAAAAGTAACCTTAAGTTGCTGAACTTAAGTTGCGCCATCCAACTCAGCCTGCCACTACTTTAGGCTCATCCAGCTATGTGTTACAGCCCACAGGTGAACAGTGGAGGAAATACTGACAGCCTCAACAGCTGTTTGCCCTGAAACCACAGAGGAAAAAACACAGCAATTCTGCACAACAAAACCTGCCAGTGCACACATCATGAAGTCATAGAGAGCGCGCGCTACTTCTATACGTTAAAGCACTATAATTTCTGTGCATACAGTCGTTCAAACACTGCCGGTCAAGTGACGTGTTTTGTTACTTTTCTAAGTTAAAGTAAACATAGGTGAACACATCCTCTACAGGAAACACACGGGAAGAAGCAGGTGAACATCTGACTTCAGCTTCAAATCACTGAAGAATTAGGGGTGGGTGATAATAAATAATTGCCCCCCTCTTTGAAAGCATATGATAAATGTAACTAAAGCCCAGCAGTGAGGAGCTGAACTTTACCCTCCTCTGCTGTCACTGCAGACTGGCAGGGTCGCCTACAGAGCAGCGCTGGTAGCTGTTAATGAAGTAATGCTCTTTTTATTTATTTAATTTTTAATTTGAGTGTTGTCCCATTTCGCAGGGCAAGATTTCAACCACCACCCCTTGAAACTCAGTTCTAAGTAGTTAGGGTGACACTTGAAAGGGGTAGGGGTAAAAAGAAGAAATAGGATTGGGCCTTATATTTACTTCTAAAATCAACAAACTTTTGCATATGTTTGCAGCACAGACAAATTTGAAATCACTTGTCATATCAATAATTTGCTAACTGTCCACTTTTGTTACTTTATATATAATAACTTGTTTATACAGTGTTGATTTAAATATTATGTACTACACACCAAATGCTATGCAAGATGTTTCACTCAATATTTCAGGTACTTTTGTAAATAATTGTTCAACGATATTTATTCATTTACAATTCTAGATATTCATTTCAAAACAAATGTTATTATAATATTATTGATGTTACACAGCCTTCTCAGTCACTGTAGAATCACCTCTGTTTTCTGGACACATCTAAAAGGTCCTTTTTTTCTTAAGCAGGTTATGATTATTATTACCTGTACTGTTTTAAATGGTGTGCTTCACTCACCTGTCCTGCAGCTGGACCCTATGGCCCCAGTTCAGTGACCTGACATGGTTCTGTACAGCCTGAGACATAGTCGCCCTACAATACATAAACAGAATCATGTATACAGCACTGCGTTAAAGTTCCAGACACCTAAGCAAACTGTTTAAGTGTATCTGTGCACTGAGTGTGTTTTTATACTAGAAATACAGCATCATTTTAGAATAAATACAAACAAACAAAACATTTGTTTTCAAAAATTATGTTATGATGCCCCTAGCTATTGCACTGATTTGTTAAAGGGGAATTCCACCAATTTTTCCAAGTTTCTTCAGAATTCAGTGGTTGAGATGTAAACAAAGTCATTTAGAGTGGTTTGATGCGAAATAGTTCATTGTAGAAAGAATTACAGACTCAGATTTCTTTAATTTGTGGTGATAGGAACCAGAAGTCGCCATGTCTTTAACACAAATATAGCCATTTATTTACTATCCAAAATCACCAGTGAACCTACATGCGTCTTCTGGGTTTTTATATGTAATGTTCACAATGGAAATATATCAGAGAAGTTTTCTTTGGGGACTATTTTGCCTCACAACTCCCTGACGTAGCCCTTCACCATGAACATATTTTTAAAAAGATGTGTTTTTGGAAAAGTGCCTGCCATAAAACAATGTCTCAGACATCAGGCAGCGTAATCACAACTTAACGAGTGAATTGCGCAGAAATTTAGAAAAATGGAATTTCCCTTTAAATTCCATCTGCAGAACACCTGATTTAATTCAATGAAGAGCTAAACAGCCAAACCAGGTACTGGATGATAACTACAGTTAATACTGGGCATCACTGAGAAGTGGCCTGGAAAGGGTTTTAAACATATTAACATGCATAAATTAACTACTTACGGTATAAATATTATTTGTATTCTTTCGAATATAATTTTTGTTCTGAGAAAGCAATGCTTGTTGCTTTGCTAAATAGCTTTATAAATCTAAACAATTTCTCAGCTGCCTTAAACGTTTGCACTGTACAGTATGATATTTTAGCCCCAATCTCAGTTTAAATGAGACGTCATATGGTGTTGTTTTTCACCAGGCAGTACGGCGCGGTTACAAATTTGAATCCAGAGCTCTCTGTACGTTGGTCGAGTACCTGTATCGGTTTCCCATTACATAACAACTGCATAAGAACTGCGAAAGTAGGCTTGGTACCCCAGGAAATAGGTTCACCAACTCCAGCAATGGCGCGATCATGGATTTGCAAGAGCATAATAGGTATTTTTGTATGTATTAATTATATCATGTACTAAAATACAGAGCCCTTAAGGGGCCGAGGTTAAAAAAAAATAAATAAATAAAATAAAAAATAAAAAAAGTTAATGACATTGCGTTCCCTCGCAAATGTTTTGCATTCCCTCTCAAAATATATGCATTCCCTATAATATAATAATTCCCCAAAATATCAGAGAGCAAGCAAATGTAGGACCAGAGGCGCCCAACCACATTGCCAACATTAGAGCTTTGTTTTTAGCGTAGCTAACATTAAAGGCTGTTTTCCCAGTTTCGCCAGTCTGTGCTGAGTTTATTCAGCAATTGTTCTCTGCAGTCTCTGTAAATGTAGCTTTTACTGTACGAGGACCCTCGATCTCAGTTTCACTTTGCGCTCACTAACAGCAGAATCATGTTTGATTTTGAGAAGCGACACTACGTCTTTATATTTCAATCCAAGATCAACGGAAAATTCAATGAGCTGCTTCATCTCTGAGCTTAAGCAAAGCACAGCTTTTGCAAGTGAATGCAAACCGTTTGCATCGTAATGCAAAACATTTGCGAGGAAACGCAATGTCATTAACTTAACCACGGCCCCTTGGGGCTCCGTACTAAAATTATATCAAGTTAAAACAATATTAGAACATCTTGGCAGCAATCCAAAAAACAAAAACAAACAAACAAACAAACAGGAACACTAATTCACACTGCTGGGTTGTTTTATGTGTGTTTGAGGGTGGAGATGTGATGTTTTTTCCCCCACCTGTTCGAGAATCCTGGAAAACTCAGTCAAACACGAAGGTTCGTAAGAGAAAACTACTGCCTATTGCGCTTTTTTTACGAAAAAGCCAAGGCTCACCATGAGCTTGCTCAAAACTGACCTGACTGACTGAAACCCTGCCCCCTATCTGATGGTTAGAGTACATTCCATCAAAATCTCCTGAATTTTGCTGGAACTCTGGACATAAATCTTGGCTGCTCCTCATTTGAGAAAAAATGTTTAAGGACTTTTAGCTGAACAGCTTTGCTGTAGCACCAGTAAAACATGAGAGCTCACACATCTCCAAGTCTTCTGCTGAGATATCAGTGAAACCCACCAGTCATGTGAAACAGGCTCAGCGATTTGCCAGCCATACTTCTTAGCGTCCTTCACTGCGGTACCAAGCAGAGCAGCCTGGTGCATAAGCTTCTTGGGAATGCAGCCAACGTTCACACACGTGCCTCCGAGGCCCCATTTTGTGCCTTAAAGGAAGTAGAAAAAAGGCTTTGGTCAATGGTTTGAGACAGATTTTCTCTAAAACACACCGCAAACAAAAATCTAAACAAATTTCAAGAAGCAGCACCTCTCACAGAAGGTTCCACGTAGTCCAGGACAGCCACTTTTTGTCCCAGTTGGGCTGCTACAAGGAAAACAGATGCAAAAAAAAAAAAATCATAGACCAATGTAAGCGTAGCTATAAATGTAATAACATGCACATATAACGCCGTAACAATCAAAACACTGCATCTCATTTATACTAACGTTTCATACAAAGCTGCATCATTCAAAATATCTCCTGTTAAACCACCTCTATGTACTGTAACACAAAAAAACACTGTGAAACATGCAAAACACTGGGGTTAGTGTATAGTGCAATGTACATATCATTGTTGAAACATGCAGAATATTGTGTCTTGCTGTAAACCGAAAAATACTGAAACTTATTGTAACGCTTGCTTATAAGGCTATGTAATGTGCATGTGCGCACAAGAGAGTTGTGTTGTAGCTCCTTATGCAAGCACAATGTCTTTCGCAGAGTTTGTAGCCTGCACGCTTACACTGTTTCTAAGCTATCCGGACAGTAATGTGGATGGGAACTGTGATATTCTGCCATTAAACTATCTCTACCACACTGCATGGAGGGCGTCTTGAGTGTTTTGCTGGAGAAGACAGAGATAAATACTAGTTTCCCTCTCTTGTTTGTTTTTGTTTGTTTTAACAGCAACAAAAAACTAACATTCAAACAGTGCAGCTCATGTGGAGAACCACCAGTATGTAAACATTTAACATGCAAAATACTTTGAAACACAGCAATAGTGTCTACTTATAAAGCTGACACTTGCACAAGTTACCTATATATATATATATATATATATATATATATATATTAGTAAAAATAGTGATGCATTGCTTTGATAATGGCCCTGCAATGGACTGGCGACCTGTTCAGGGTGTATCCTGCCTTCTGCCCAATGACAACTGGGATAGGCTCCAGCACCCCACCGCGACCCAGAAGGATAAGCAGTTTAGATGATGTATGTATGTATACTTTGATAATGGGATGTATATATCTGTCTGTCTGTCTGCCCTGCGATTGACTGGCGACCTGTCCAGGGTGTATCCTGCCTTCCGCCTAATGAGAGCTGGGATAGGTTCCAGCACCCCACCGTGACCCAGAAGAATAAGCAGTTTAGAAAGTGTGTGTGTGTGTGTGTGTGTGTGTGTGTGTGTGTGTGTGTGTGTGTGTGTGTGTGCTTTGATAATGGCCACATACCTTCTTTTGAACATGCCAGTCCTCCAGAACCACCTCCAATAACCACTAAATCATAATCATATTTTCCTGCAAGAGAGGCAAGAATTAGTTAATCCACACAGAACTCAGCAACAATTAATACACACATGCAAAGCAACATGCAGGAGCATAGAGTCTCATTTCTTTTGAGCTTGTTGGAGTAACTCACCCAGACAAGTACACTAAAGTATGTAGACACCAGCATTTCTTCTGAAATCAAGGGTATTAATATAGGCTGCAGTAACAGCCTCTACTCTTCTGGGAAGGCTTTACACTAGATGTTGGAACATTGCTGTGATGATTTGATTGCAATCACCCACACGAGCATTAGTGAGGTCAGGTACTGATGTTGGATGGTCAGTTCTGGATCACTCCAACTCATCCCAAAGGAATTGGATTGAGCTCCATCACAGCCCAATGCTTGGGGGGGTTTATAGTCCATGCTTGGCATGGTGCATTGTGACCTTAGGCTCATGTGCGGCTGCTCCAGAGCATCCCAAGCTATTGGTCAGGGCTTTTTTGTGTCAGCAATGGGTGCATCTTCAAAGGGAAATTCCAACAATTTTTCAAAATTTCCACATAATTCAATTGTTGAGATGTAAGCAAAGTCATTCAGAGTGATTTGATGTGAAATTGTTCACAGTATAGAAACTTACTGACTCAGATTTCTTTACAGTGGCAGTGACAGGAACCAGGGATCACAGTGTCTACAACGCACATGTAGCCATTTTATTCATTACCAAAAACCGCCAGTAAACCTACACGTCTTCTGAGTTTTTATATATAATGCTGAAAATGTGAAATTCTATTTATATTTTTGTATATTTATTTATGTATTTTTTTACAAAAAAATAATATACATATACACACACCGATCAGGCATAACATTATGACCACATCCTTTTTCTACGCTCATTGTCCATTTTATCAGCTCCACTTACTATATAGGTGCACTTTGTAGTTCTACAGTTACAGACTGTAGTCCATCTGTTTCTCTGCATACTTTGTTAGCCCCCTTTTACCCTGTTCTTCAGTGGTCAGGACCCCCATGGACCCTCACAGAGCAGGTACTATTTGAGTGGTGGATCATTCTCAGCACTGCAGTAACACTGATGTGGTGGTGGTGTGTTAGTGTGTGCTGCGCTGGTCTGAGTGGATCAGACACAGCAGTGCAGCAGGCATCAGGCAGCATATTTGTAACCACTTTTAGGAAGGTAGCTTTTAGAGGCAATTCAGAATCAGAATTGTTCATAGTGGTGGTGATAGGAACCAGACTCCAGAAATCTCCCTCACAGAGAGCTAACATGAAGTGGTTAGAAATATACTGGCTGACGTCCAACACATTGTTTTATGATAGTTCTGTGATAAAGTTATTACTTAAAATGTATTTTAACTCATCCATTTATTATAATCCATTCGGAGGGATAAATGAAGGGCGTTGTGAGGCCAAAGAAAGCTCTTTTTCCAGATTTATAACTATTGTACCATCATCAACACTGCAAGACACGTGTAGGTTCACTGGTAGCCTGGTTTTATTTACCCAGTGATCCCTGTTGCCTATCACCACCCCTGTAAAGAAATTTGAATCTGCAACTTTCTCTATAATGAAGCATTTCACACCAAACCACTCTGATAGTCTTTGTTTACATCTCAACCTCTGAATTATGCTGAAAAAAAATGGTGTACTTCCCCTTTAAATACTTCAGACGTCTGGTTTCTATCACCACCACTGTGAGCAAGAGGTTTCTCTAGACTGAAGCATTTGAATAATATCAACACCTTAAACGTTTAACTATGCAGGGAAGTAGAAAAATCGGCGGAGTTTCCATTTAAAGCAGCTGATTTCATTCATTAGAAGGG